AATACAAATACAAAATACTTCGTCAAAAATGTTTTTTAATTACTAATCTAATTACTTTTTCAGAAAAGCATTTAAGTGCAAGATACAAATACAACCTAATGTATTTGGTCTCCTCCAAATACTTTGCCAAATACATTCCTCAAAATTTGCGTCAGCGACTTCAGGGCACCTGCAACGGGTTTCTGGGTATCTCATTTTAATTTTGCATCACACACTCGGGAGTTAGTGTGCGAGGCTCTAGTAACGTAATAGAAATATAATCACAAAAAATGTAATCAGCTTGGACGTAATAGGTGAAAAAAGTACAGTGCTGCAAGCAGCACTGTACAGTGCTGCAAGCAGCACCAACAAAGAACCGAGACGACCAAGACGCGCAGCACTAGCTAGAGAATTTTTCGTTGTTGCAACTCGCACCAGTTACGAAAATCTGGACGACCTGCGCATTTAGAATGGCAAAAATATGGATGGAAATCAGGCTGGAAAGCATCATAAGTTGTCACAGGCACTTATTTAGCCAGTCTGCCTGTGAACGTTGATTTCGTCACTATTCTTGCCCTGGACTAGCACCGTAATCACAAAGTCACCAAACGCTTCTGCTTGATTGAGGGACACTGCATTCAGTGCAGAACGTAGTTTTCTTCCTGCTCTGGACACGTCTTAGGATGAGCAAAATGAGTCGTGACAATAAATTTGAGGGATGTATTTTCGCCCACAAAATTGTATTTAATTACAATTGTATTTAAAATACCCACGTTTTTAGTATTTAAATACACACGTCAAATACATTACCCAATTTGTATTTAAATACAAATGCAAAATACACAAAGTATTTGAAATACGTATTTCAAATACTTGTATTTGAAATACTGCCCATCCCTGCTTGGAATTATTACTCGATTAACTAGAACGTTTGCCAACTATGCTTGTTTCCTTCGTTTATTTTGTTCTATTATCAGATCGAGACTAGACTTTGGCTCTGTGGTGTGGAATTCACTGACACTACGTGATGCAGCAAAAATAGAGCCAGTTCAGAGACGTTTTGTGCGCATAATCTATGAAAAATACTTTGGCGGAAGGCATTTTTACAACTATGAACTCCTGCTCGACAAATTTGGCCTACAGTGTCTATCCCTCAGAAGATTATCCTGCGATGTTGCCTTCTTGTATAAAATAGTTCACGGGGACACTGACTCAACACTTTTGTTCACAGTGAACTTTAACGTACCGACTCGCTCAAATAGGACAGCTCTCACTTTTTATCCCCACAATCAACACATGACATCACCAACAACAAGAATGCAGACAAGTGTAAACAATCTTAGGCATGAAAAGTTTGATATTTGTGATATCTACGTAAATCTCAGTAGACAATTAGATGAGATTATTTTCCGTCGCTAAAAATGTACTGTCGTGTTTTGTTGTATGCTAGTTTAATCAGTTCAACATATATTAAAGTTATGCAATTTTTTTTTCACTGTGCCACATTGTAGACCTTTGTTGGTTGTTCATTGGCACAAATAAAGGCATTATGATGATGACGATAATGAGGGGATTTGAACAATCGTCTAGGACAGATAGAGGATCAAGGTAAGTTTTTATGCAGCCTAACATGATATTAGCTTTAGCAAGGATGTGATCAATGCGATTTTTTCAAAAGCTGGGTGTAATCAATATGTACACAAAGACAATCATATGAAGTCGCTTTCAACTTAAATAATAGCGATTGAACGTTTGAAGGTAATATTTATAGCCTTCAGTACGTACCGTTGTAATACCACTAAAGGATCCTCTTGCGTAGTAGAAAAATTATGTGAACAGTTTTTGATACTCATAATTATGTGAAATAATACTAGAGCAAGGTAATGGGTATGTAGCGACCAATCAAACAGCGCCCACGACGAAAAAGACAACGGCACACACAAACAGATGTCACGGACAAACTTGGCGAGGCATGGCATGAGAAAGAACAATCTGTGGCATCGGTCAACGGCACGCGCCTCTGTAAGCCGACACCATCACAACTTGGAGAACATTTTCAGATGACAAAGAAGCTATAGTATAGTTGTAAACGTTTGTAAGGAAATTTTTAAGGTTTGCCCCCTTCTGGTCGATTAGCATTCCCAAGTATCGATCATTGCCTTAATCACAACATAACCTCTCTGAGTTGCTCGGTGGGTTTCAGAGAAAGGTAAAAACTCAGGTGGGTGAAGTGAAAGTAGAAATGACTGCCTTATATTTTTAGGGTTGTGAAATCATTCAATCGAATTAGTGATTAATCGATAAATGCATTAGTTAATAAGTAAATTCTTAACCCATTAAGCGGTAAAACATCCGCCCTCCCATGGGATTGCGACACAAGTCCTTCATCGCTGTCGAACTCAGCGGCAAGAATGATGTGGTGAAATTTATTTCTGAAATTCAGGTAGGAAAGTTTTTTGGACCAACATTTTTGTTTTGCTTGGGAATTTAAGAATTGAGAGAGCCTAAGGAAGCCAAGGTAACGCCAAACTTAAAATTCTTTGGTTAGAATTTGGGTATATTGGTAATGTTTCGCCAAGCTAGTGCAAGAGTAAGGCTTCACTTCTGGTTTTTCGGTTCACACGCGGCATCTTTGGCTCAAGCCTGTCTCTTTGGCAATTATGTGGCGAACCAGCGAAAAGCCATAGATACGTCAAAAAAACGTTTCCATGCACTAACTAACGCATTATAGCAAAGCCGTATGAGGCCAGAGTTAGGTCTTATGATTGCAAAGATTGTGACAATTTATGTGACAAGTTATGCACAAAGATATTCTAATTTTGTCTTCCCCACGTTTTTTATGTTGTTACTACGGCGTGAGGACTAACTAAAGCTCTATGCTTCTTCTGAGTCTACTGTTTCATTCGGAAGGAAGAAATATCTCGAGATAGATAACACATAAATTATATTTTTGAAATTAGCGGAAAAAAAATCTTCTGTTGCAATCTAGAGTATATTTAAGTTAAATCAAGTACCACGTCTCTTGCATTTAATTTGTGCAAGACAAGCTATTAAGTAAAACTAAATGATTGTAATCACGTACGATGTTTCTGCGTCCCTAGGGGTAGGCTAATCCTAAAAAGCGTGGCCCGAAAATGCGTAATATTTTATTTATTTTGGCAATACTTCAAAACTTTTATCGTTGTATCTAAGCATACCAATTAACCAATTAAATACTTGAATAAATGTCCCGGAGTAATTCGTTCAATTTTCTATTCAGCACAAAGCTGACCACCATTGCAGATATGAGTAATGGTGGTCAGCCATTACTCATATAAGTAAGATTAATAAAAATAAAATACGTTTGTAAATTTCTGTAATGCGAAATTAGAGTGCAGCTGTTGGGGTATCTTGATTTTGTGATATGCTCTGCTAAACCATTTTAGAAGGAAATATATATAAGGTCTCCCAAGGTCACCAGGATCGATCTAAAATTGACCGTAACAATCGATGCCCGCACGTAGCCATCTAAACTTCTCGTCAAGCGTGTATTTCACAAGTCAGTTTTTCTTGTAAAATTACAAAGTGTAGCTCCCTTTCTGAAAAAAAGGGCCAAAAAACTTGCCAAGGTCAACGGCGGGTGGCGACGCAGACGACCGAGTCGACTAGGGGGGCGCGTTTCACGCTAATATAGATAGATGGCGCTACCTCCTTATCGGGACTGCTCGCGACAACTGTGGTTTATTAAAACGAATACAATCTCTCTGTAATGTACCCCTGGTTAAAAAATAAATGCGTACAATAAAAGCAAACCTTAAAGTAGAAAAAAAAAGCGTCTGCTTAACTACGGCGCTTCTGCTGCCAACAAGTTTTGTTTGTGTGTCTGCTTTATTTCGCTGGACGGCTACAGCTTCTGACGCTGCTCCCGACGCCATCTATTAATAGGCTCACCAAACGCGTCCCGCAACTCGACTTGGTTGTCTGCCTCGCCGCCCGCAGTTGACCCTGTCAAGCTTTTTGGCCCTATTTTCTTAGAGAAAGAGAGTTGCGCATTTTGAACTCTTACAAGAAAAAACCGACCTGTGAAATACACCTTTGAAGAAAAGTTCAGGCTGCTGTGACCAGGCGCCGATTTTTACGGTTTATTTTAGAACGAGCCTGGTGACTTGCGGACACCCTATATATATGTGCAAATCTAGACCACTCTTATCACATTCTGGGTCTGCACCGTCCTCCTCTTCCATATCCTGTTCCTCCTTCGTACCTTCCTCCTCCGTATCCACCCCTTACCCCCTCCCGTGCTCCTTCCTCCTCATCCTCCGTACTCTGACCTCCTCCTCCGTACACTCTCCTCCTCCCACAGCTTCCCTGCTAAATTTAGCAAAAAAAAAAGGATGCCACGTGACCTCGATACCAATTCGATTTCCCCACTAAATCTAGCGGAAAAAATGACGTCACATGACTTCATGTTACGTCGCCTATGAACAAATTCAGTTTCTCTGCTAGATTTGGCGGGAAGATTGAGGTCACGTAACCTCAACACCAATTCAATTTCCTGCTAAATTTAGCAGGGAAAATGAATTGGTGTGTCGGTCTATGACCTCCCATAATGTAACACTGCGCATTCAGTTGCCCCGCTAAATTTAGCGGGGCAAACTGCCGTCACATAATCTCAACCTCAATTCAGTTTCACCGCTTAATTAAGCGGGAGACTGGGACGTCTCAAAATACAACGCGCGCAGTTACGCCAACTGCAACGGCGACGGCGCGCCGCCGCTCAAAGCGGAAACGGGCGCCTAAGAGCTGCGCTCTAACAACACTTTCAAAATACAGCGTGATAAAACATAGAATACATTTTGAGATTTTGTTTCCAATGCGCGTTGTACTGAATATTGTTTGTGACAGAAGTGCAATGACACATTTTATCTAAAAGTGAATGTTTCGAGGCAATAATGTTAATGCGAGATCAAGCATCACGCAAGGACCGGTATGCGATTTCGCCATACATGTTTAATAAAAAACTGCTTGAGAAGCATACTTACGATCAAGATCAATCTCTCCCTCAAGCTTCGGAAGGGGAAATATTTTGTGAGGAATTCGTCCAGATCTGTCATTTATTCTCAGGGGCTTAATTCCGTGCTTAAAATTGAGGTAACCTTCCTGTATAAAAAAAGATTAGACTTATATACAATCGTCCGCTATATGCAGTGTACGATTCATTTATGAACTAGTATCCTCTTTTACAGCTACCAACAGTTAATGAAGCCTTCTTTGTAAACATATTTTATATATTGTTTGATTAGTTAACTAATTCGTGTGCATAGTAATTAGTGAAGTCTTTTTTTTCATTCAATAATTAGTGCAGTAATTTATGGGTTAGTGATTAGATAAGTACTATATGTAATTCGTAATATGTGAAGTCACTTATGTATAAAAAATACTGTGATAATTTATGCTTCGAGTACATTGAGATTTTTCTTATTCTGTTCAGATTGGCTATTTTTGTGAATTGAAGGAGCAAATTGGTAGGCGAAAATATTTGGCTGAGATCTAACCTCCAAGAAGAGGCTAAAATAATAATAATAATAATAAAAACTTTATTTGCTGTTTGCTACACTTGACGCTCGGTCCCCACTGTTTTCAAGGAGACAAAACGAATATATGTTTCATACACCATTCTGATGTTAGCCTGAGACTGAGGCAGGAAAAGAGGAAGTTTCAAAGTAGAAGAAAAAGGATGTTCCTTTTTCTTCTACTTTGAAACTTCCTCTTTTCCTGCCTCAGTCTCAGGCTAACATCAGAATGGTTAATTTCCACCAGCTCGCCTGCGCACTCACTACAATATCATATGTTTCATACCATTTCTATCCCCGTTGGTGTTTTAGTTATAGTAAAAGAAGCTGCGTGTTCCGAGTTTTCATAAACGCTATTGCGTAGTGATGTGGTATCCATCTAAAAGGAACAATATATTGTTAGTAATATAAAAAAATCGTTCACTACAATATCAGTATTTTTTCTTTCAAATGATTTAATAACGACGTTAGCCCATACAAAATGTGTTACGCCATGTACGTCCTACTTAATCAATATTTTGTAATACTATGTAGGACCAGTGTTATGATCTTACTTAGCATATTCTATGTCAGGTACGTGAAATATACATTTCATGTACCTGACATATTCGAATATACATTTTTTGTGTATGTGTTCCCTTATTTTGGCATGAGAAGTCATGCATATTTGTAGATTAAACTAGGATACGCCTAGTCAGGCTCATGTTTTTTCATATATTATTTACTGACACGATCCGAGGCACACTCAATAAAAATGAAATGAGCTTTGATTCGATATGTCTGAGTTTTTGGTGTGTGCTGCCCTCTTGCTTCAAGGAACTGAACAGTTTTATTGCGCCGAACTTTTACGTTTTTCCAAACAATGCGAGAGTCTACAAACTGATTCCATATCTCAGTTGAGTAGAATTAAAAGAAATCTCCCACTAAACGTAACCGAAATCGCAATTCATGATTTAAAAGACATACTTGCTACATTTATAAACGGTAATAAAAATAGTAGAAATATTTTTGAAACCCTAAAAAATATTGAAGTTTTTCACGCACGTCAGGTGTATGCGGTCATTTTTATTAATCTTGACAGGACCCGAAATCTGCTTATATTTAGAGCAAGGTAAAGACGACTTTTTCGATGAAGTTCGTATCAGAAGTTACTGTTTTATACGAAGCTTACTGAACTTCCCATTCTTGTTCTCTCATTTTTTCTACAACAGAAACTAAGCAATACACTTCGAGTTCAAGCTTGGATTTAAGAGGAGGAACGTTCCTTACCAACTCGTGGGTTACCTTCCCATTTAGAGTATCGGTGTAAAACAAATTCTCTCCCAAGACGCTGGATTCCTCTAAGTTAACGATGTAATCCTTAGTCACTTGAACAGCGCCATGTGAACTGCCGCTTCTGCTTTCAATCAGAACGGGATAGACAACATCTGAAACAACAATTCTCGTGTGAACATGTAGAACTTTGCAAGTGCGGCCCCGGCATAACCTCGGACCGCGCGGCTTTGCGCCCGCACCATCTCACGAGGGCGTCGGCTTCTTGTCGGTGCGCATTGCATGCCGGTCACGATTAAATGCGATTGTGCAATCTTTCAACAAACATGGCTCCTTGGCGTTGGCGTGTTTTTTCTGCAGACTCCACGATTAGAATTTATTCTTTATGTGAAGCGTTATTCTGGGCTGTGTCACTCTAGTTACATGTCGCAATGGCCAACGGGCATGGAGGCTCAACGAAGAGACTCTTCACTTGAGCGGCGGCGTCTTAGTGTGCCTCCAAGACGGCACAAAAACGTTTGTGCTTCGTGCTTGTTTACCTCATATACGCTGCTGCTTTTCAAGCGTTTACATCATTGAACGCCGCAAGTTTCTTATTTTGCGTACGTGTGTTTGTGCTAATGTTGAAGTTATTACTGGTACGGGCTAATGTGTGTGTGTGTGGCTGTGCCCGCGGAGGCGCGAGTTTTCAGTGGGTTTTACATCGAACGTGTTACGAATATCACTTGTGAACGTTATTCTGTATAATCCTGAAAGCATGTCGCTCTGTTGCTGTCTCAGCCAGATTGGCATCTGTTTCTATCTTGGAAGCAGAAGAATGTGGTAAAATTTGTCCTTGCGGTAAGATCGTGTAATGGTGAAGTTGGCGTCGTCCCAAGACGGCGTATGGCTTTTTTCTCTCTGTTCAGCTATGCAAGTCTAAAATATAAAACAAATAAAAAAATGAAGCTCGTGTCTTACAAAAGTTTGGTTACTCTTGTGCCAGACAACTCGACCAATGATTGAAAAGCAAGGCGAAAACGGCTGACGGCCACGAAGAAGCTGCTGTCGCAATACCGATTGCCATTTTTGTTAGGACTCCCTGTGTCCCTGCGCTCGTTCTAGGAGCTGGTACGTACTGCACAGAGGGATCGTTGTAGGCGAAAATGACGCAGCCATGGCTAACGCAGTTTACGTTAGAGTATTAATCGGAGACACACACACCCGCAACTATAACGTATAGTGCTGTTTCAAGTTTGTGGCATGCATGTAAAAAAAAAAAAAAGAAAGATTTTACATTACCAATACCATGTTTCCCAAGAAATACGGCTTCAACTGCTCTGTCATAGGCTGAACACGTTGTTAGTTAACGAAAACTTTGCTCCCATAATACACAATCAAGCATCCACTACTGCTCCAGCAAGCGCATACAGTTAAGTAAGATAACATTATGATTGACGGACTATTGAATCATGTTAACCATTCAAGTAAAATCAATACATGATTTCTATAAATTCTGCGAGTTGCATGTTGATTTATTTTCAGATCTTCCTCTTTCTTCCAAGGGCACAGCTGCAACTATTATGTTCAGAACACAACCAAAGTTGAAACAGGTGTCTAGTGACGACGTATATTTTTTTTGTTCCTAAGCTCATTTTATCAAACAAGAAGCACGTTCCAAAGCAGTAGGTGAATTGGGGGTATACCCTGACTTCATGCTTGAGTCATTTCCGCCGTCGTATGTTAGATCAAGACAATTCAGATCGAAGTGGGAGCGCACGAACCCCGGCTTTGGCACCTTGTGTATCTTAAGCCTCTTTCTACTTTTGGTATGGACTCTGCTCAGCTTCGACTAGTTTCATTTGCGCGCAGCGGTGTATGAGGGTGCTTGAAGTAAACGACAGGCGATTGGTGTCAGGTGCTCAGATTCACGTAACCCTTGAAACCGCGGGGATGGTGGCGTATGCTTTGCCGAATCGTCCAGTTCCTTCTTTCTCCATACACTTGACAGGGTTCTCAATTCAGCAAGATTAGACAGCACTTTTCTCGCATCAGGACCTAACCTTCCTGCCACTTCTGTGATGTAATCCATAGCATGTTATACGACTTTATTTAAGAACACTCCTCCTGTACTTCGGGTGAATGCAAATTTGCTGCGCAAACTCTGGACGGCAAATAAAGTTGCGTCGCTCACGCAGAATTTCTGCTGATTTTTAATTTTCGTTGGTAGTCAGGGTAGAGTCTGGAAGGGCCTTCTCGACTTGTCTCGTTACTTTGAGCAAGAGCTTATGAACTTCTGCCAGAACAGTAGTGTCTGACTCAGCTTCAGAAATAGCGCGGTCAACTGGCTCCAACACGCAGAAAGGGGTCTGCACATCTCGCCAAATGTAATCTTCGTCTAAAACTTTGGTTACCATTTTGCTACTCACTTGAAGCTCAGTGGCGATAACGGTTTTTTTGTCAAGCTTCTTTGTTCTTCAAATGACCCTCCGGTGACATCAAGGTGCCCGCCAACGAGTTTCAACTGCTAACGTGAGTGCTCGATTGATTTCCAGCCTCGTATACCTCTTTGCAAAGTGGGCCGGAACCGCGTGAGAGTTCGTTACGTACTTGATTACAGAGATCGACTTCTTACGAATATCCCGCCATGTCACCAACTTCAAGAAGTCTGCCAACAGCAAGATTATTTCGTGAGCACAGCATCCCTAAGGAACGTTGAAAGGGAAGTCTTGGCTTACGATCGTTCATGCGGCTTTCATCTGGCTTGCGTTGTGTGTAACCAAGGCAAAAACCTTCTCCAGTTTTTTTATAGCCTTCGGAATCTCTGCTGTGCTGCATTCTCAGTTGTCCCTGTGACCTTCTGTCTCTACGGCGTTGTAGAAAAAGAACTTTGGCGAGGCCACCACGAAATTAAAGATGCTCTCGCCTCGTACCTCTGTCCAGCCGTCCGTGCGTATGGTGACACTTAGTGCAGGGTTGACTGTGTCTTCCACCAAACAAGAACACCAACGCTGGAGGGTGTTTTAAAGACACTGGTGTGGAGTATGCCCCGGTGTCATCACTGGGGTGTACTTGACCTCGAATAGTCGACCACGTAACAAGTGCCCGGAGGGCAGTGCGTACGGGAGCCTGAGAAGCTTGAACGCTTCTTCCAGTATCTGTGGTTGGTGACTGTTCAAGGCGTTACTCTATAATAAATCGCTCGCAACAACGCCTCATAAAAAATCCTTTTAGTACTCCGGTGTCATTCAGTCAACAAATTCTTGCATAGAAGTATCCTGGTTGATAGGACTGACAGTTTCTCTTCGAGAGATAGCGCTTTTGCTTTCCGGGGGTTGACGTTCTGTCCGCGCAGTTTCCACCGGAGGGCTTCTTGTTGTGGGTCACATAACTTCTGATTCAGATCTTGCCAGTTTGGCTTATGCTGCAACAGGTCAAATGTCCAGAGGGCTCTTCGAACATATTGCAATCGGACGCCTCAAACGGATTGCGCTTGGAAATTCGTACTTGGCACAACACAATCTACACACAGCTGGCCCTTTACCATTGTTAAACACATCTAAGCTCACCGAAGTTCATCGAAGTTCAAATATTTGAACGCGGTCTCACCATGGTACGCAACCGGAAAGTTCAAACAGAATCAAAGCAAACGCAGCTCTTGACTTTCAAGAACTAAGAGCGTTGCGCACGAGTGTTCGCTAAAAATAAAGCAATATACCGGAGGATGAGATTGGATTCTTCTGAATTTCTCCCTTGTTTCGGGTTTCTTCTGCTGACAGTCGTCAGATGGGTAGCGAAGAATACACTAAATTGACAACAGTTCACGTTGACGCTAACACAGTGAATATAAAATGATACTATACCATAAGGTTTAGTAAAAAAAAATCCTTGTCGTTATTAACCTTTGTAGCTATCTTTTAGATCATTGCTGTATCATTTCTGCTCAGACAATTGTTTTAATGTTTCCAATACTTCCGAAACGTTTCTTTTTTTGGGCCTTCAAAATTTCTGGAAACTCTCCATTTCTACTGGGGTCGTCTTGCCTCTGTCCTGCGCGTTCAGAGTCGCATTGTGGAGAATTCGTCTCCTCTGCTGGCCTACTCCCTCGTATTCATCCGCGCGTCTTCCGTTTCTGGGGTTCCGTGGAAGATCGAGTGGAACGATCGGCGTTCCCTCGTCTGTGTGAACGGCAGTCTGCGCAGAGTTCTAGATCAAATCCTGGCTCAAGTCGCGGCGTGAACATGTAAAACTGACGATGATTCCACTCGCGATTCAAATTGGCTTTCAGGTCGGCGAGTGCAGTGGTCCCCATTATCCGCGGTGCGCTCGACCGCTGGAACGTTTGGGGGGCCCTTGTTTTAAAATAAACACTGCCAGATACCGGAATCATCGTTGTTGGCAAGGCGTTTAGAAACCCGGCGCGGCGACCGCCTTTTCTGATAGCCGTTGACCGCGCGGTGGGAGAGGCGACAAATTTCCTTTGTACTTCGGCCTCCGTACGTAAAGTTACGTGATCTTAGACAGTTCTGGCTGCTTTGTCCTAGACTGAACAACGAAGCCCGACGCTGTCTGCACTAAGGCAGCCTATTTTGCACAAAACTTGCCAGAAACATAAAAAAAAAATATTTTTCCGAATATCGCAAGTTACCTTTCTTCTAGCCACCAAATGTTTTATGCTGTTTTTTTGTGACGTTTCTGCTATTTACGTGGCAACCAGGCTTCTTCTTGGAGAGAACATTATGTCGCGAGTGTATACTATGTATTCTTGGACACCTCTGAACACTCTAAAAAAGGGGAAAAAGCATTGGGTGTTTTAGATGTTGAATGTTCACCAAATTCAAGCACCACGAAAGAGGTACTGTTCTGTCCATTCCTATGTTAATTCTTTCCGTTTTTATTTAACTTCACCTACGCGCTCACGTCGAACTAAATTGCCAACATGTTCTTTGTTATTTCTATTGCGATACAATCGATAAATCGTAAATTTATTTCACTACTCAGTTGAAAATAAGTACATTTTAGGAAGATTCAGGGCCCGTGAGGAGAGCGGTTGCGCGTTAGATTTAACACTCCTGCAATCGACGCATGGCTGGCGGCGCGAACAGGCGGACAATAACACACGTAAAAACTGCGGAGGCATGTTTTCGTACCACCAGCCTTGCGCCTGTTGCACGAGTAGTAAATGAATTGCACCACCGCGCTGCCCACGCGCCTCAAATACTTCTAAAATGTACTGATTTAGCGGGTTTTGATGACACTCAGCAAGTTTTTGACTGGAACTATATCTTTATCTTGAATTCAAGAGGTTATTTAACATGTTTTAGTAAATTGATCACCTTGTCTTGATGATCATTCCCCTATATTATATCCGCCTGGATGCACCATTCACCGGCACAGACCGCCTCAATATATCTTTGACGGCATTTTAAAGACAAATTTCGAAAGTCTTAAAAGCAGCCTTTATAAAAGAACGCATCTCTAAGAACTATTGCAATACATGCCTATCGCGATACTGTCCAGCCCAGGGCGTCTGTCTCATGCAAAACAGATCTACGCGATGGTGGTTCCACTTTGCTGACCAAGTTTTAGAGAAAGGAAATTTTCGCCGACCAAAAAACAAAACTTTGCGTACCTAAAGCAGGAAAAAATCATAAGGGTGCAGGCGAGCTGGTGAATATTAATTATGTTGAATTAACCTGAGACTGGGGTAGAGAAGAAACATCAAAACGTAGAAGGGACAGAAAATAGACAGGATGACGCCTCAAACTCAGCTAACTCAATTATTTAGTCCATCTCCTTATATAGTCTCAATCTCAAGGTCATCTTCACCAACACACAAGACGACGTCATACAGATCAAGCGCCATAGCGTTCATCACACAATTGAACGTTGCCAATGTTTCGTTGTCAACGATCTTGCAAGAACATTGACAACGCGTCGACCTGTAAGCGTTGTCAACGTTCTTGCATTGTGTGATGAAGGCTGTGGCGCTTGATCTGTATAACGTCGTCCTTGTGTGTTGGTAGAGATGACCTTGAGATTGAGACTATATAAGGAGGTGGACTAAATAAATGAGTTAGCTGAGTTTGAGACGCCGTCCTGCCTATTTTCTGTCCCCTTCTACGTTTTGATGTTTCTTCTCTATCCAGTCTCAGGTTAATTCAAGATGGCTAAAGCAGGACCCCGCGACACTGGTGCACTCTTAAAAAAAACTAAAAAGAAGCTAGTAACTGCAGCAGTTACTACATTTTTCTGGCCGTTTCCATATTTTACTCTTTCCTACTTTAAACGCGCGACAGATGGTAATAAGGATATTAAATGAAACAGTTACTACCTTTTTCTGACCGTTAGTACCTTCTAATAGCTATTTAATCAAAGGCGCCACAGGTAGGGACTGCAGATGCTAAGTGGGGAAGCAAGAAAATGGCTGCTGGTAACCTACGGTGACACATTTTTATAGACTGATGCAGTTTTATAGACTGTCGCAGTTTTATAGACTAGATACAAATTTCGAAGCTCAAATTCAGAGCGTATAATTCAATGTGTTACAATGCCTGATCTATCCGAGTCATGCTCAAAGCCGTAATGATTGATGTTTTTGGGCCTATATCTTGTACACTCAATTTTATATTGTAACGGGTGAAGAGGGCTCGAAAAATGTGAACTGAAAATAAAAATTCAATCTGCTAATTTGTAAAAAAAAGAAAAAAAAATGAAGAACGAGCGTTGAGACACCAGGAAAAGCGGGCGGCTAATTGGCGGTGTAACCGCAAGTTAGAGCGAGACCGACTCGATAAGCTTTTCGGTTGTCTTGTCCGTTTTTTTAATTTCCCCTTTACTCAGGGTTTTCAACTATCTTCTTATCTAGTGCGCATCGGTATCTCGAAACATCGGCCGAGAAGGACGAAATGATAGAAATTACGTACCGAGTAAGAATAAACATGAATCTTCTAGAAGTCCATGGCCAAGCGTTGCTTGCTCGGCCCTGCACGCGCCATTATCCAGATACACCCTCCCCCGCCTTTAAAGCGCATCGTCCCGATGCAATGCGAAAATAAAATAAAATGTAAAATAAAAACTAACGGTGACACCAGGGA